AAAACAAGACAAAGACACCACAAAAAAAGAAAATTACAAACCAGTATCTCTGATGAACACAGACGTAAAAATACTCAACAAAATATTAGCAAACCAAATTTAAAAATACATAAAAAAGATCATCCATCATGACCAAGTGGGATTTATTCCAGGGATGCAAGGATGGTAAATATTCAAAAATCTATCATCATCATCCACCACATCAACAAAAAGGACAAAAACCACATGATCCTCTCCATAGATATTGAAAAAACATTCAACAAAATTCAACACCCATTCATGATAGAAACTCTCAACAAAATGGGTATAGGAGGTAAGTACCTCAACATAAAAAAGGCTATATATGACAAAACCAAAGACAACATCATACTGAACAGAGAGAAGCTGAAAGCTTTTCCTCTAAGACTGGGAACAAGACAAGCACGCCGTCTCTCACCACTTTTATTCAACATAGTACTGGAGGTCCTAGCCACAGCAATCAGACAACACAAAGAAATAAAAGGCATCCAGATTGGTAAGGAAGAAATTAAACTGTCACTGTTTGCAGATGACATGATATTGTACAGAAAACCCTAAAGAATTCACTCCAAAACTACTAGAACTAATAACTGTATCCAACAAATGTGGAGGATACAAAATCAATACACAGAAATCTGTTGCATTCCTACATACTAATGATGAACTAGCAGAAAGAGAAATCAGAAAAAAAATTCCATTTGCAATTGTATCATAAATAAAATACCTAGGAATACACCTAATGAAGAAGGTGAAAGACATATATATCCTGAAAACTACAAGACACTCAAGAGAGAAATTAAAGAAAATACCAATAAATGGAAATACGTCCCATGCTCATGGATAGGAAGAATTTATATTGTCAAAATGGCCATCCTGCCTAAAGCAATCTACAGATTCAATACAATCCCTATCAAAATACCAACAGCACTCTTCAATGAACTAAAACAAATAGTTCTAAAATTCACATGGAACCACAAAAGAGCCCAATAGCCAAAGCAATCCTGAGAAAGAAGAACAAAGCTGGGAGAATTACCCTCCCTGACTTCAAGCTCTACTACAAAGCCACAGTAATCAAGACAATTCAGTACTGGCACAAGAACAGACCCATAAATCACTAGAACAGAATAGAGACCCCAGATATAAACCCACACATATGGCCAATTAATACACGATAAAGGAACCATGAATATACAATGGGGAAAAGACAGCCTCTTCAACAAATGCTGGCAAAACTGAATGAAACTGGATTGTCTAACTCCATACACAAAAGTAAACTCAAAATGGATTGAAGACCTGAATATAAGTCTTAGAAGACTCTTAGAAGAAACATAGGCAAAAAGCTCATGAGTATGAACATCAGCAAATTTTGCCTGAACACATCTCCTCAGGCGAGGAAAACAAAAGCAAAAATGAACTAATGGGACTATATCAAACTAAAAAGCTTCTGTATAGTAAAGGACACATCAGCAGAACAAAAAGGCATCCTACAATATGAGAGAATATATTCATAAATGACTTATCCGATAAGAGGTAAACATCCAAAATATATAAAGAACTTTCACTCAACATCCAAAAAACAAATAACCCTATTAAAAAATGAGCAGAGGATCTGAGCAGACACTTTTCCAAAGAAGAAATTCAGATGGCCAACAGGCACATGAAAAGATACTCCACATGGCTAATCATCAGGGAAATGCAAATTAAAACCACAATGAAATATCACCTCACACCAGTTAGGGTGGCCAAGATCTTAAAGACAAGGAACAAAATGCTGGTGAAGATGCGAAGAAAGGGTAACCCTCCTACACTGTGGGTGGGAATGTAAATTAGTTCAATCATTGTGAAAAGAAATATGGAGGTTCTTTAACTAAAAAAGAAGTATCATTTGACCCAGTAATTCCACTCATAGGAATTTACCCAAAGAAAATAAGAACCCAGATTCAAAAAGAAATATGTACCCCTATGTTTATCACAGCACTATTTACAGTAGCCAAGATATCAAAGCAACTTAAGTGGCTATCAATAGATGAATGGATAAAGAAGAGATGTTACATATACACAATGGAATATTATCCAGACATAAAAAGAAAATAAATCCTACCATTTGTAACAACATGGGTGGAGCTAGAGCATATTATGCTAAGTGAAATAAGCCAGGAAGAAAAAGGCAAGTACCAAATGATTTCACTCATTTGTGGAGTATAACAAAGCAAAACTGAAGGAACAGAAAAGCAGCTGACTTGCAAACTGTGAGAAGGGACTAGCGGTTACTGAAGGGAAAGGGTTGGTAAGGGTGGGTGGGGAGGGAGGGAGAAGGGGATTAAAAGCCATTATAATTAGCAATCACAATACAGGTAGGTCACGGTAAGGCGGTAAGGCAGTACAGCACAGAGAAGACAAGTAATGACTCCAGCATTTTACTATACTGACAGACAGTGACTGCAGTGGGGGGTGGAGGGTAAAGACTTCATAAGGGTGAATATTGAAACCACAAGGTTGTTCATGTGAAACCTTCATAAGATTGTGTATCAATGATACTTTTAATTTTTTTAAGTAAAAAAAATGTATCAATTACAGTAAATGGCACCAAAAATATTTAGGGATAAATCTAACAAAGCATCTGCAGGATATTTATATGCCAAAAACAACAAAAGACTACTAAAAAAATTCAATGTATTCAACAACTGTTAAGACTCGATATACTGTTACAGTTCAGTTTTTCTCAAACTGGTACAGATTCAAGGGAATCAAAATCAAAATTCCACCAGGATCTCATTTTTGTAGCTACTGACAGCTGACTTGAAAAGGTAGATGGAAAAGGAAAGGAACTAGAATAGGCAAAACAACTTTTAAAAGAACAAATATACAAGACTCTAGCACCTTATTACAAGACTTACTCTGAAGCTACAGCAATTAAGGGAGTGTGATATTAGTGGAGGTGAAAGACACATAGATCAATGTAAAAGATTCAGAATCCAGAACACATTCATATAATGGTCAATTGTTTTTATAAAGGTGGAAAGGCAGTTAATGGAGAAAGGAATGCCTTTTCAACAAATGGTGCTAGAAAAGCTGGACTTAATCGTACAAAAAAAAAAAATTCAATCCATACCTTCACAAAAATAAAATCAAGAGATCACTGGCCTAAATGTAAAATGCAAAACGTTAAACTTCTAGAAGAAAGCAGGAGAAAATTTTGTGACTATGGGTTAGTCACAGATTTCTTCAGATACAGAAAGGACAAATCATAACGGAAAAATGGGTAAATTAGACCTCATCACAATTTAAAATTTTCGTTCTTCAGAGATACTTAAGAACTGTGGGGAATTCTGCCTGTAACTCCACAAAGTGACTTTCAAAATGCTGTTCACAAGGTATCTAATTGTCTGCTGGGCTAAAAAATGGAGAGAAGGGCATTCTATGCAGAGAAGAAACTCTGCAAAGAAAGGCTCACTACTGTCAAAAGGGCTCACAGGTCTAAGGAACAAGAGGAGGGACAAGTGGAAAGAGGATCAAGGAAGTAAAATATGGGAGAATTTTTTATGTATTATTTTTTATTTTTCCCCCACTAAGCACCAAGAAGTATTGCAAAGCAGGGAAATAACAACTGGCTTTCCTTTTTTATAAATATAAATCTAGTGACAATATAGAGGATGGACTTGTACAGAGATTGGTGGGAAGGATTCTGATGAGAAGTCTGCTGCAGTAACCCAAGCAAGAGATGATTTCTTGCAGATGAGGAGGCAATGGGAAGGGTAGGCAGAGAACTTCAAAGACCCAAGAGGAAGGACTCGGTTGACAATGATAATTTTAACTAAAAATGAGAAAACAGCTGTTTGGAAGAAACTAATTTTAGATTCATGTTTTTGAACAGAGGTTACAAAAGATTTGTTCTTGGAACATAAGAGTAAGTATAATAGTAATTGCAAAGCACTCTCAACTGGGGGACAGTATAAGATCTTACTAGGATTAGCCGTGTTTTTGACTCTTTGCCTTCCATTATGCAAATTTCCATGTATAACAAAATGAGAATTCTTTAGAAATGTATTAGCATACACTTATGCTAGTAGATTATTTGGGATACCAGTTGTTCCATATCCCTTTAGTAGTTAAGGGTATTCTCAAGTTCAAAGAGAAGCTAAGAACTACATGACAAAAAAAAAGGTTTAACTCTTCAAAAAGCACCACTCTACTTAAAAGAGCAAGGCAGGAATATAGGCTCCAGAATCAGAAAAAACTGAGTTCAGATTCCAGCTAAGTCACTTACTAGCTGTATAAACCTGGGCAATTCATTTAGTCTGTTATATCATCTATTTTGGAGATGTAGCTCACAACATTGCTACTAGGTCCTGGCACAGAAATGGTAGCTATTTTATTGCTATATATACGTTTCCATATTTTAGCATGTTCCTTAAAATAGTGACTTTTATATCTATTTCTCAATTGTTTACTGATTCTTAAAGCAGTTCCTTTAAATGATCCCTGAACTATGGAGTAAAAAGTGAAACATACATCCAAAAATTTGGACATATAGTTGGGAGCCAGCATAAAATCTTAAAATTGTACCTTACATACATCAATGTGCATGCTGCACAGAACGTAATCATAGTTAAGAGTAAAATGTTAATCTTTAGGTAAAATTGGCATATCAAGAAAAGATGCCAGTTTATATTACAACAAAGCCCCTCATACAATTCCTCATATCCATAAGCCACCTCAAGATATTTCAGATAAGAGATATCTGGGTAGCATATTATGGAAATTATGCTTCATGTGGTAAAAAGCCATGGAAAAATAGAACTACTCACCCTAAGACCCAGAACTTTCCTATAGGCAAGAAACATTAAAAAAAATAAGCACCTAAGGTTCCTACTTATGCATTTTGTACTGAAAATTTACAGACCTGCTTCAAAACCCAATCTATAGCTGAAGAAGTAATAGTGGAAAGCCATAGGTTTTGAATCTAAATTTTAAAATTTTACCTGTTTTCTTCTTTTTATCAGAAGTAGCATCCAAAGTAGCTAAGGTATTAGAGGTACTTTTATAAATATCATAACTGCATACTCCAGGATCTTCATCATCAGAAGAAAACGAAGATAAATGTTCCAAGTTTTTAAGTTCATTATCAACTTTTTCTGATGGGCTGTTACCCCCCATTTCAGACACTAAAGGTGTGGCTGCTGTGGATAAAGCCTTTGGAAGTGGTGGGGGGCAAAATGTACGCACAGCCTGGGTCCCTGGTCGTCTAGTCCTATTAGGCATTCTTACAGCAAGAGTGGAAAACTGCTGCTTGGGCCCAGATTTCAGAAAATCTAAGAAAGAGGCAATAAATCCTGTTTTCACTTCCGGCTGCTTTTCCTCTACTTCTTTGATCTTCTGTCTCATTTTTTCTTGATGCTGATAGCCGTCATGGCAGCTCTCTGAGGAAGGAGGAGTATACGGTAAATTTGTATCTGCTCCCTTTGGATTCTGGCGTTTGCCTTGGGCAGGTCTTTTTAGCTGTTTCTGATTACTGTTGTCTTCCTCTTTAGTGTGCCCTTTCCCAGTTTTTTTCTTCTGGAGGTTACAATGCATAAAATCTTGGTTTTCTTCTTCAACCTTGACATTGACTGTCTCTCCAGGCTGGGCCATGACCAACAATGCAAGTGCGCTCGTACTCGGGTTCACACACACACCACTATCGTCAACCCCGAAGGCGAGCTCACTCTCCGATGCAGCACTCTCTCCACTTACACTCCTACTGCTAGAAACAAACTCTTGGTTTCTGTTATTACTTAATGTACTATCAACAGGAACTTCGCCGTCTTCTTCAGATTCATGATTGGTAGCAGACTGCTTCTTGAATGGGCCAGAACTTTGCTCCTGGACTTCATGACTTGGTCCAACCTTTGGTGAAGTTACTTTAGACACTTTATTTTGACCCAAAGTTTCAATATGCTGTTGATCAAGAGTCATTTTTGACTGAAGGGTAGGTACTGGTGAAAGGTTCATGGTAATATGGCTTCCATTTAAGGAAATGTCACTTAGATTCTGTGATTTTCCTACTGTAGCTGTTATGGAGTTAAAATCTGAAGTCACATGCCTGACATCTAATGTCTGCTGAAAATGAGACTTAGAATCACCATCTTCAACAGCTGGAATGGTTTCATTTGAAGTTGACTTGGAAAAATCAGAAGGTGTAACCCCACAAGCTGCTGCTGTAGCTGCTAAGATATCATCTACATTTGATAGAATATTTCTTTCATCACTGAGAAGCATTGCCTCTGGGAAACATATTGATCCAAGAGAAACAAAATGATTCTTTGAATCATGTTGATTTGTTTCACTAAAATGGCCTTTTGTTGTTAGATGCTGTAATGATTTTGAAGACTCAGAGAGGTCCATTTTCATAATTTCAGAATTCTGAGGATGGAGCTGCTGAGGATGGTTACCATTGCTCTGAATAATTTGGCCATCCATTTGAAGGAAAGGATGTACTATTTGTTGAGGACTCTGGACACGCTGCACTTGTAAAGGTGCCTTTACTTGTCCTAAACCTGCGTGTAGTATTGACTGCTGAAGAATTTGTAAATCACAAGCAGAATCTAAAAGGACCTGTGTATTAGGAAGAGATGCCTGATGGTCATGCCCTAAAGCTTGATTTGGAATTTGAATCTGCGATGAAGCATTAACTATTTGATCATGTTGCTCCTGGATCTTGGCCTCAGGTATCTTATGTATAAGGGAATGCTGCTGGTCTAGATCTTTAGTATTCAGCCTTATTTGTGGAGTTTGTATTAAATTAGTTGCCTTCTTAGTATCAAGGGTTGCCACATTATTGACTTGGCCAATTTGTTGGTTAATTTGTGTCACTGAACCAACCAAGCTTTCTTCTTTTTTTGACCCTTGTAGAGCAATCCCAACAACTTGATCTTCAAGATGGGAATTACTTCTGATTATACTCTGAGAATATCTGTCATCTGCCTTTGATACCTTATATGTAGATTCTTGAACATTAATTTCCCCATCAGACAGCCTTTGGGTTGATGACTCAAGAGATACTTGTGGCTGTAATACCTGTAACTCTTGCATTGGAAAATCATCTTCTTCCTTGGAAGATGTATACACATTTGAGTCAAGTTTTCTTTCAGCGTAAGACTTTGGATCAGGGGAAGGTATGTTATTCTGTAATGTCTGACAATGAGGAGAGGATGCAAAAGATGATGACTGGACAGCAGGCAAAAACTTTTGGGACTGGGGAGACGATGATCCTTGAGTCTGAACATTTTGGGAAGAATGCATAGAAATGTAATTCTGGGTTGGGCTAGACTCTGGCAAATTCTGAGCCCGCGAGGCAGAAGAATAAGAAAGAGAAGGGGCTGTCAATGTTAGGGGCTGCCCTGAAGCATAGCTTTCTGAAGGACTAACAACTGACAAAATTTGTGATTGAGATGAGTAACTAACCTGTGTCTGGCTAACAGGTGATAAACCCTGAGAGCGACCAGATGAGTAACTTTGAGACTGGCTAGCTGAAGCGAGATCTCTTGTTTGAGCAGGGTAATTGTCACTTGTAACTGAAGATAATAACTCTTGCTGATTAGAAGAATAAGTAAGTGTCTGACTCTCAGAAGTTATAGTCTCAGATGACCCAGAGAAAGTCAAAGGTTTATGTAAGGATGGCAACTTCTCAACTTTGCTTGATCTATAAACCTGTGAATGTACAATAGATGGCACATTATGTGGCTGTACTAAACCATAATTCTGGGACTGACTAACTGATAAAAGGCTTGGTAGCTGTGCTGTAGAATAAATTTGTGCTTGGCCCGATATTACAGAACTCTGGTTATGTAAAGGTTTGGAATAGCTTAGTGTTTGCACAGGAGGAATTATACTTTGAGGTTTGGGGGTCTTAGCTGATGTTAGTGGTTGTTTTGTGGAACAACTTTTTACTTTTGTAGTAGGAGGATACCCTGATGATGGAATTGCAGATGAGTAAGACTGAGCAAGTTCCACTGAGACCTGAGAGGTCTTCTGTTGCAACCCTCCATTGCTCACCTGAGTAGAATCTCCAACTGGGCTACAGGATAAAGATGACTGCCTGCTTGTTTCCTGAAAATTAACTACACTTGCACTTGATAGATAACTATGTAAGGAATGCTGTGAACCAGTCAGTTGAGCCTGAATAGGCTGGGTACCTGAAGGCCGCTGATGGTGTTTAATAACACTACATTCTCGAAGAAGAGCTCTTTCAATGGAAGCAGTAGAACTAGTAAAGACAGTTGAACTGTAGGCTTGAGGAGTTTGCTGGGCTCCCCCAAGTGCTGAAGGCAACAAACTAAATTGAGGTTGTAAAAGATGGGGTGCAGATTCTTGAGCAGAGCGGTATGTTGAAGACTGAGGTGGTATGCTGTTATTTAATGCCGAACTGCCCAGACGCTCAAATGCCAAAGCAGTTGGAACAGTTCCCTGGGAAGTCTTGATTTGTAGCAAAGGGTCATGAGGATTTAAAATTCCATTTGATGTAGTGTTAAAAGTTGAATCCTGAAGCACCAAAGGTGAGGTGGTAGCAAAGTTTCTATTGCTGAAGGTGGTGGGATGTTGATAAGCAGAGAGGGCAGAGGGTGGAAGTGTTCCAGTGGTTGGCAAATGTCCAGCAACAAACAGCTCAGCTGATGCTGAGGAATGCATACCTATAAGAAAAAGATTTTTATGCAATTACAGCATAAATACTCATATGTTTTCATAGTGGAGACTTAATATAACTTAACCTTCAACCCATCAAAATCTCTGTAAGATTGAAAAGCCTGACAAATTAGTTCTTCATATAAATTTTGAAAATTACATTTCAAAATAGCTAGCTTTTTAAAGCAAAAACAAAGCCACAAAGGTATCAGCAAATCATATGCTATATGCATTTATATATAAAGTTAGATAAGGCCATTTGAAAGTTAAGAAGCCAATAAAAATATGCATAATCTCTAGTAATTAACTAACTCTGAAATCTCAATGCAAAATATCAACTAAAATGTTCATAACATGAGAAATTGCCTACATTTAACAAAATGTCTAAAAATAAACTGAGTTTTACAATGCAAATTAATCATAATATATGCATTTTAAAAATCGCTTGTATTGCAAGTTTTGACTCCCCATGAATAACTTCCAATAACAGTAGATGCATACTTAACACAAAATACTGATAAGACATTAACAAAGTGTTGTCAAGAAGAGATTATCAACATTTCTGAACAACTTAGACACAAAGCAAAAGGAAAAAAGTGGGATCCACATTATTTTTTGGATCCCTTGTGATCCAAGTTTCACTTCTAGAAATTTATCCTATGGAAATAAGTGTATACAAAGATATTTGTACAAGATATTCCTTATAGTTACTGTGTTTAATATTAAGTAGAAACATAATTCATAAATAGAGGATTGATCAAATAATTATGGCATATCCTAATAATACTGTAGATTAGGTAGGTATATATATATATGTTTTGATACACAAAGGTATCCTAATTCATCTCTAATAAGGGGACTGTACTTAGGAACTATCACTTTCCATTTTATACTCATTTTTTAGTCAGCTTGCATTGAAAAATTCTTTTTTCATTTTGGAAGACTGGGAGAAAAAAGAATCTCTAGTCCTTTCAAAAATGTTCTTTTGAAAAGATTTATACACCCATGTCTACATTACTTACAATAACCAAGATATGGAAGCAACCAAAGTATTCATCAATAGATGAATGGATAAAGAAGATGTGGTACATACACAAAATAAAATGTTATTCAGCCATAAAAAAGAAATTGTGATATTTATGACAACATGGATGGATCTGGAGGGTATCATGCTCAGTGAAATAAGTCAGGTGGAGAAAGACCTGGAGATATGGTATTTGTACAATTTCACTTATTTGTGGAATCTAAAAACAAAACAAAATGAACAAAATAGCACTAGACTCATAGACACTGAGAAGGGACTAGTGGCTACCATGGGGTAGGGGTTGAGGTGGGTGGGTATGTGGCGAGGCTGAGGGTAATAAAGAGACCCAAACATTCTCAGTCACAAATATATGTTGGTCATGGGGATGGTAGTGCAGCATGGAGAATACAGCCAAAGGTTCTGTATCATCTTCCTATGCTAACAGTAACTACACTAGTGAGGGTGAGGATTAACAATACAGGTATAACTGTTGAACCACTGTGCTGTATACTTTAAACCAATATAAGATTATATCTAACTATACTTCAAAAAAGTTCTTCTCACTTCCTTCCATTAAATGTCAAAAAAGTATTACAAGGACAGAAAATGTCTAATTATACTTGAAAGAGTAAGTAAAACTTAGAATTAATGTTTAAAATAATATAATCTTAGGAACTGAAATAGCAATAACATATAATATAAAATTATTTCATGAAGCAAAATATGAAGCTATTGTTTTTTTATATTCTTTTATTCCACACTAAGACATTAATTATCTTCTATGAAGCAGTGGAAAAATGCTGCTAAGGCATATTGATACGTGTCTTTAATACTTTAATGGAATTTATATCAGAATGATAAAATATTATTTCCTGTAGCTATTACTCAAGAATATCTCCTGAAATATGCTATGACATTTCTTATTCTTTAAAAAAACACCCTTAACATTCCTGTCATTTTGTAAAAAACAAAAATATATACAAATAATTTTGAGGGAGAAACAGTTGAAAAATAAAGTAAGATAAATAAATAGAAAAGTACATATACATGGGCACAATATAATATCAACTTGTAACAGCTTTTACTAAATAGTGATTTAATCTGTTCAATTAAGGATAATGTTACATAACTCTGACAAAAACTCTATTATTTTTTTCCTATACTACCTGCTGAGCTTGAGGTCACTAAAATAAATGAGATTTAATCTTTTGCCCAAAAAAAAAGAAGATAAATATGTGAGATAATGGATGTGTTAATTAACTAGATGAGGGAAATTAATTCAAAATGTAAGCATATATCAAATCACCACAATGAACACTTTAAATATCTTAACATTTTATATGTCAATTATAGTTCAATAAAGCTGAAATGGAAAAAAACACTCTTTGTGCTTCTCAAGCAGACAAGTAACTACTTAAATTGCCAGATAAAACCTTTACATCTAAGGTTTATCTTTAATAATTATCTACCTTCTTCAACTTGTTCATTTTCATCAGAGTGCTAAAATGGAATTTCTGCTAGTAACAATTTCTTCAATTTTGTCTATGGTAAAAGGAGTTGTGAAAACTTCCAGGTTTTAAAGTTCACTGGAAAATCTATAATTAATGTCACTCTTAGCCACACTATCATAATGGCAAGGCCATAAAAAGTCTATTTTTTTCTGAATTTAAAAATTCTGAAAATATAATCACCTGTCTGCCAGGATGGAGCCCTGAATTGTGGTAAAAGAGTAGTTCCTGAAGCAGCAGCCTGAGCAGTTCGGGATTCAACATCAGAGAGGAAATTCATCACTGAAGATTCTTTAGTGTTAGTGCTGGCACTGTTCACACTAGTATCAAATATTCCAGAAAGACCTACATTTGAAAGTAAAATATATCCCAAAGTAAAACATATATTAATAAAAAATTATATTCCTGATACTATTTTAAAAAGGAATCTCTGAAATTTGAGGCCAAAAATTCTACAACCCTAAACTGTTTTCATTTGAAACATCAACAAATATTAATTTGACCAAGCATAGTTAACAATTTAAAATCTACAAAGATGCACAAAAAGATCTCCCAACTAATTAATTACACAGACATTTCCTATCATTAAAACACAAAGCTTTTAATCTCATTTTCAGTTTAACATTTTCCATGGCATTATATCCTGTACATATTCATAACCCAAGATGTGAAAATTAATTTTTCTTTTTATTCATTGAGTGTACCCAGAGTCACAGTATACATCACAAAAGCATTTTTACCAGTTGGCTGAGGTGTGGTCGCTGCATATCCAGGAAGCTGAAGAGAGCCTGCAAAAGGCTGTCTCTGAAGATCTGTTTCAGAGTGTGAGGGATGTCTTTCTTCATAGCTTAAACTAGAGGACAAAGAAATAAGTGACCAAAAATACAAAGCCCAAACCAGATCAAAAAAATTTTAGGACAGCAATTAGCAAAAGTAGAAGTTTTTTTACTAAATTCCTGACCCATAGATCAATTGATCAAGTACAGTTGGACAATACTGTCAAAATAGGGAAAATAAAGATACACTAAGAAGAAAAATGATAAAGAGCATTTTCCTTAATTCAACTTTACCTCCAACAAAGTCCTTTTACTGGGAAAGGTAACATGGTACAGTGGGAAGAGCAATATCCCAGAAAACAGGAACGCTGAACTCATGGTCCAAGCTCTACCACTGGTTTACAGTGTAATTTCCATAAATGACTTAATTACTGTTGGTCTAATCGCCTCACATGTACGACTAAAGGACTAGACAAAATAACCCCTAAGGTCTAATTCTAACATTCTATGGAATATCAGTTAATTCAAATGAATTGATAATTAATGCTATTCCTAATAAGTCACCTAGAAAATTCCAAGCTTGTACATTTTGAGAGTAATTCAAACTAGGTATTCTTTCTCCCTTTGATCTTTGAATATTTTAAATCCATAGAAAAATGGAAATAGTAAACAAATAACCCATATACCTATCACTTAAGATTCAACAACTGTTAACATTTTTTAACACTTCCTTTATTCTTCTCTATACACAGACATATATATGCTTTTATTTTGTTACTAAACTGCCTGAAAATACTTTCAGACATCATGACACGTGTCTTTTATACTTTAGTTGTATCTCCTAGGAATAGGATACTCTCCTATATAGCTAAGTATCATCATCAAACTTGAAGAAATTTAATATTAAGTCAGTAATACTATGTAATACAGAGGTCATATTCCACTTTCACCTAATTGTTGCTAAAATATTTGTGATTTTTAAAGCTCTTTCCATACAGGATTCAATCAGAATTCAGGAATTGCATTTGATTCTGTCTTTAAATTTATGAGTGCCTCCACCCTGGCCCTAGTCCCAGGGCCCTTTTGTCTTGATTTCCTGATAGACATTTTTTGCTTTCTTTTGAGGGATCCAAGTCAGTTGAACTGTAAGTGATCCCAAATTCTGGATTTATCCGATTGCTACCACGTGAGAAGTACACAAGTAATGTTTTGTACTTCTTACAGCATCCCATGAGGATGCACATAACATCAGTTTGTCTCATTACTGATGATGCCAAACTTGAAGTGGTCATGAGGTGCATCTGTCAGATCTCTCCATGCAGTTATCTTTTCTCCTCTGAAATTAGAATGTAATTGTTAAGTGTTAACTTTAACACAATGTAAATATCTTGCTTGCAACAGCCCATGGTTTTAGTCATCATCCATCATTATCTTTAATTCAATTACTGCACTGGAAATTGGAAATGGTAGTTTTTTCATAATGGCATTCTTTCAGTATTTAAAAGAGCATTGTTCCAAAAAGTAGAAACGAGCTTTTCTTTTTTTTCTTTTCCTCTTTCATGTGTATATATTTATACTTCTATGTTTTAGTATATTTTTCAAAAATGTATATATATATATTTTAAGATATAGCATTGCAGACACTTGATGCTCAACTTGTCCCTCCAGTCCCATCTCCTTTTGACATGTCCTCATTGGTGCTCAAACACATTCTTAACTTCTAGAACAAAATGTTTCAAACTCACCTTGTTATTTTCTCCCGAACCTGAAATCAACCATTTCTATTATGTTCCCTTTTAGTGGGCATTGGCACTTAGAAATCAAGATCTGGGTGTCAGGTTTGTTCAATGTCTGGGTGTCTTCTAGGCCCTTTCAGTGGATAAAGCTAGGAAGTGTATGTCTTTTAAACATGAGTTCATACTAACAACTCTAACTCAAATCCAATATAGTATCCCTCATCTTCCCCCATTTTACATGTGTATTCCCCCTTTTCCAAGTCAGAATTCTATCTAGTTCACAAATACATCAACATATCTACTGATTAGCCCTATTCAAAAATACTGTAACACAACCTCTACCTAATAACAAATCTACTAAATAAAGATCAATATTTCTTCAAGGTGCTTTTTGTTCCAAGATTATATCCCACTAGGGTATACTATACACTTAGAGTACTATTTCAAAAGTAAGTTAATTATGTTTTGTGTGGCTATGTTATTAACTAGATATAGGAATAGGATTTTGTTTCTGTTTGAAGATTCAATTTTAGAATTAAAGTTGACCCTTGAATTCAACTGCACAGTCCACTTACATGCAGTTCTTTTTATCAATAAATTTATCATTAAATTTTTTTGAACCTCTGTGACAATTTGTAGGAAACATTTTCTTTTCCCTAGTTTTACTGTAAGAATACAGTATATAATACATGTAGCATACAAAATATGGGTTAATTGGCTATTATCTTCACTTCAAGTGAATACTAGACTATTAGTAGTCAAGGATTGTGGAATCCAAAGTTATACATGAATTTTTGACTACAGAGGGGGTCAAGTATACCCCCAACCCCTGCATTGTTTAAAGGTCAACTGTATTTTTAAGTCTTAAACTTTAAAAGTCAATTATATTAAGGTATAATTTACATAAAGCACACTCACTTTGAGTGTACAGTTCAATGTGTACATTTTTAATAAAATGTTGATACATGTGTACACCAGTATAGCCACAATCCCAATGAAACTGCAGAATATTACCATCACAACAAAAGGTTTCTCATGCCCCAGTTGTGATCAATATCATTTTCATCTCACCCCTAGTCCCAGACAAACACTGATAGGCCTGCATCGCTAAAATTCAGGCTTGCCTCTCCAGAACTTGGTATAAATGGAATCATAGTTTATACTTTTTTCTGTCTCGATTTTTTCCACTCAGCGTGTTTTCAAGATATATACTCTTTGAAATACACACATGAATAGTTCATTCCTTTTCACTTTATTGTATGACTACATCACATTATGTTTATCCATTCACCTAATGATAGACATTTGGGTTGTTTCCAGGTAGGAGCTACTATGAATAAAACTGCTATGAACATCTGTACATAATTCTATTGCAGCTACATATTTTCATTTCTCTAAGTTTAATATCTAGGACTGGAATTACTGGATCATAAGGTAGGTGCATGTACCATTCCATTTTACGTTACTATCAGTAATGAATCAAGATTCCATTTCACTTTACATCCTTGTCACCACTTCATCTTTTCAGTTTCCTTAATTTCAGCTATTCGAGGTAGGTATAATATTATCTCACACTGGTTTATTTTGCATTTCCTTAATAAAAAATGAGTAGCATCATTTTATACGCTTATAAGCTATTCTTTCAGCTTCTCTTGTATGGTTTGTACAGATTTTTTGCCTTAGAAACTAAGTGTTGTTAGCCATCTTTCAGATTATAAGAGGTATTTAAATTACATTCTGGATTAATTAATTTTTTGCCAGGTACATGTATTGTGAATGTTTTTTTCCAGCCTGCTGGCTTGCCTTTTCATTTTCTATTGTCTTTAAATGAAGGTTTAATTACTTAATTTTATTTTAACAGCACTTGAGATCTACCCACTTAAAGTGTACAATATTGTTAATTATGTGCACCATGTTGTAGAGCAGATCTCTAGAATTTATTCACCTTGCATAAAGTAAAATTTTATATCCTTTCAACAACTCCCATTTCCTTCTTCCCCAGCCCCTAGCAACCACCATAAATTTTTGATCAAACCGAATTATCAGTATTTTTTTCTTTTATACTTAGTGCTTTTAATGTACTAATATTTTCACCTGTGTTTTCTTCAATAAGTTTTAAAGCTTTAGCTTTTATGTCTAGGTCTACGAATCATTCTGAGATAACTTTTAATGTATGGTGTGAGATAAGAGTCAGGTTCACATTTTTAACTTCCTTAAAAATAAAGGTGTAGGCGGAGCCAAGATGGCGGCTTGAGTAGAGCAGCGGAAATTTCCTCCCAAAATCATATATATTTTTGAAAACACAACAAATACAACTATTACTAAAAGAGACACCAGAAGACACAGGACAACTGCCAGACTACATCCACACCTGAGTGCCTTGCGAAGGGGGTAAGATACAAGCCGCGGCACGGCGGGACCCAAGCGCCCCTCATCCCACCTCCGAGCGGGAGGAGAGGAGTCGGAGTGGGGACAGAGAGGAAGCCCAGGACTGCTAAACAGCCAGCCCTAGCCATTCGCACCAGAGCACAGACACAGTGCATACGTAGGGACCTGAAAACTAGGGAAACAGGACAGTAAGACCTGTGAGCCGGTCCCCGCAACTGGCACCACTGGGACAAAGAAAAGCGAGTGCTTTTTGAAAGTCTTAAAGGGACAGGGACCCCACAGCTGGATGGAAGGATCCCAGGACACTTAGCCCAGCAGCTGGGAATCCCAGGGAACACCAGGCGCCCTAACCCCCTGGGCAGCAGCACCCTCGTAGGCCCCTCACGGTGATAAACAGCCTCCTACCTGTCTCCCCTCTGACACGGCTCTACCATATTGGAGCAGCAGACCGAGGCCGGCCATGCCCACAGCAACCGCTGAGCTTAACTCCATAGCGGCCAGGCAAGAATCAGAGGCCCCGTCTGCGAGCAGTTGCCCAGCACAAACCACTAGAGGTTGCTATTCTCCCAGGAGAGGAAGGCCACAAACCAGCAAGAAGGGAGGTTCTCCAAGCCGACACACAGCGCCAGACTCGCACAACTACCTCTATTGCCATGAAAAGGAAAAAGAAATTGATACAGACCAAATCAGAGTCGACCCCTGAACAGATACACCTAACCAATCTTCCTGAAAAAGAATTCAAAATAAAGGTCATAACCATGCTGACGGGGCTACAGAGAAATATACAAGAGCTAAGGGATGATGTCCGCAGGGAGATAACAGAAATGAAACAATCTCTGGAAGGATTTATAAGCAGAATGGATAAGATGCAAGAGGGCATTGGCGGAATAGACACCAGAGAACAAGAAGACATAGAAGCTGACGCAGAGAGAGATAAAAGGATCTCAAGGAAT